TTTTTCAAGTTTGCTTTTATGCAAAGTGATTATGCAATGATGACTTGTTGACATAATTTTCATTAAGACAATTTTTTGATGAATTATCGAGCATTTCTTTGCCTTCGACCATTCCGACGCGCGAGTCAGTTAATTTTCAAGCAGACTAAGTTAAGCCCTGCATTTTTTTTATTTTTACCAAAAAACCCTATCAATTTGAGCCTAACCCAATTAAATTTATTAACTATTCCATTATCAAATCTTGGTGGCTTTAATATTAACAGATGGAATCTGGGGTTGAGTTTAATTTTATATACATAGAATAGCATAGAAGTGTCGGCACTGAAGATATAGGCCTATGGCCTGTTACCGATTTTAGAATTATAAGTTATACGAAGCTTCTTACAGTCTATAAGAAAAATCAGATGTTTGATTTTAAAACAGAAGTGGGGAATAAAGTGTAGGGATGATTTGCATTTTCAATAAAAAACTTACAAATTAATTAATATCTCCAGTTTACAAGTCCTGATGATAGCCAAGTTCTTGAATTTCGTTTGGTTCCACCTCGTAGCTACACGTCAGAAGTAATTTGTGCTGCTCGAACTCACTCTCAAATAATATTTGATCTTCAACTATATTTCACTTTTTATTTTCTTTAACTTTTTGACAATAAAAAACTACAAGCAAAAATTCCAAATCCAAATTCTTTGCATTCTTTGCAAGCTTTGCACTGCAAAGTTTAATAATAATAATAATAACAATCATAATAGTAATACATAAAATAATAATAATAATAATAATAATAATATACTAATGTATGTATAAGGTGTATTGAGTGACATCTACAGATATTCTTCTTCGCAGGTGGCAGTGACGAGGAAATGAAGATCAAGACGAAGTGGAATCACGCCAACTCGTCTCCCATCGCCTCGTACATTGCCCAGAGTCTAAGACGACTGTCATGTCTCCAGGACGATTCCCTCACACATGAAAAAATGGCGGTTAACTCCAAAATTATCAAAAGAACGGCAAGAGAAATTTAGAGCCCAAATTATGAAGTAATTGACGCCGGTGACGTGAACTGTAGTGTTGCATGTTTTTCACAAACGAAAAGCATGCCGTTGTAGTGTTGCAGTGTTCATAAACGATGAACAAGTCAACCGTGCCTCGGAAATACGTTCGAGTGATTATACTGTATAACGAGTACTCGAATTCTGTGAAAATGAAGAGCTTGAAGTGGTATTGAGTTATGAGGATCAAAACGTGACCGGAAATAGGTGTCGTCGAATGGAAAAGGAGTCAAGAATTTCGATATCGACCAATTCTAGCTCAGATCTACAGTTGGAGATTCTGTGTTTCAAGGAACAGACCTTCTAAGCTCGAATCCATCACTAAACCATCACGTCTACCAAACAGTCTTGACTGATACCATTGTATTCTATGTAACAATTACAGGTAATATTATGTTTTTATTTCATCAAAATGTTTCACATCGTGCGATTGCCAGCGGTCTGACCATTTATTGTCTCCCAAACCTGGTAACTCCACCACCGTTGGCTTGTTTATGAAAATGCCAACGATTGTAGAGTACCATAGTAAGGATGACACACTCTTCGGCATGGTCAGATCATCGACGCGATTTGTTAACTTTTAAATGGAAAGAAAATAGGCGCTAATCTCGAAGACGCTACGGCAATTTCATTATCATGATCTGTGTGCGACGAAAATAGTGGAACGCCAAAAATTGTTTCAGCAAAACATACGATATTCTCCGGTACATTTTTACGCCAAATGAAGGAATCAGGATAAAGATCGGATCGGAAGACTCAACGGATTAAGGATGAGTTGGAAATATGCGCCATTGGACAAAGGGCAGACTGATAAGTCTAACATTTGGCGTTTTTCTATTCGCCTTTAAGCAAAAAAGCGCACAGATAATGATTGCTTTTATCTTTTAAAAACTCCAGTTTCTTAAAATTCCTCAACTGTCAGTAATCTTTCTGAATCCGGCATCGGGAAATACCAGAACCTGATTTCAAGGTACTAATTTTTATGCAAGAATAAATATCGTATGCAATCCAAAAAATTCCAAGAACCTGTATTTTGCATCAAGCATTAAATTACATCGAGATGGCAAAATTTATTCATTTAGACAAATTAACACGTTGAGTGCTGTACGAACCCCAGGTCTGCAAAATGGCCTAAAAACGGCCAGTTCCGCGTACGAAAAAGGCTTATTATTCAATATTAAGTTGTAAATTTGTGGGTTCAGGTTCAGAATTCACTTTTCCTCATTCTCGTACTTTCTCTCTTCACTTGATGACCATACTCGTATAAACTGCACACATATTAAGATAAGAAACTAAAAAGTTGTCTATTTAATAGTTCACTCATGCGAAAGTCTTGTTGACTACTTTTGTCGTGCATAAATAACTATTTATAAAATCTAAATTATTTATATGTTTATAGTTTCAATTGACAATTTAATAGTTAAGGGGTAACAATACTGTAGTGGAGTGTATGCGAGGTATCCACGTTTCTAGACGCTTGACGAAGCTTCGTTTCTGTCCTCGAAAAGCAGAACGGGAAATAAACATTGACTATGGAAACTATGGCCAAATGTTGAAAGCTTATTTTGGGGGATATTATATCGGCCACTAAGAATAAGATGTGCGAGAGAATGTCATCTTCTTGCCTCTTGGTACAAAACTTGGGCTAATGAGTAATTAATTATATATGTTTGCGAGAAGAGTAACAGTTTCAAATTCAAACAAGTATGTCACGAAAAACGAGGTGATGTTTTTATATTACCAGGAATACTATCTCTAAATACAGGAATAATTATCTCTAAAATATATTGTAGGAAATGTATAGAAATAGGGATATAATTCAATTTTTTATTGTTGTGAAGCCTTAGGGAAACATCTGCTGCTACACTAAAAATGATCGTTTATGACTGCATGACAGCCATTTCATATCTTAGAATGGTTCATGTGTTTGAGGATTTATTCTAGAATTATTTCCTGCTATTATTTGAGACGGACATCACCATTAGTCTAATAGTGAGATAGTTGGACTAAATCATCAGTACCAATAAGATAGAAAATTAATAATTGAGAATAATTGTACTAGTATTCACCGTGCAAGTATAATTGACAGGAACACACGATGACTGAATCGTGGCTGAGTATTCCACGATGATGTGTGTACCGGCACATGAATGCTCTCATAGCGGGAATTTTTAGATTGAATATAAAAATATGCGGTTATTGTGTTAAAGTTATGCAGTTAAATAAAATAAAGATGCTGGTATACATAAATTCACTCGGATTTATTTCTGTAGACTCTGTGCCTTTGCCCATTACAGGTAGTAAGCAATCATGGCATGTCAATCATTGTATTTATTCTCATAAAATTGGGTTATGGAAACTGTAAGTGCTTGGTGGAAAAAAAAACCCTTGAACTTAAGTCAGGTAGAACAATGTTAGCAATTGTGATTTATTTATAGTGGACCAAATGTCGCAAAAATCTTTACTTCCGTTTCTAGCAGGAGAGCTCACAATATTGGTGTAAGGCTTCCAATTATTAGAGTGATTTTACGCAAAATTCCATGATCTGTGATTTGTAGATAAAGAAATTGAAAATGAACAATAAAACCTAATTAAATAACTTAAGCTACAGTCAGGATTTGAATGATACAAATGAACAAAATAATTATTTCATTGTGTATCACGAGAATGCCACTAAACAAATGATGCGTAGCGTCAAATATGATTTGTTATAATTCACAAGCAACCAGAAGTATTGAGTGTGATTTATAAGTTTCAAATATTTTGCTGCACAAGGGATCGTTGGAAAGTCATACTGGAAAATGAGTTTTGATGCCATTAAAGCTTACATCGTGAGCTGCTGTCTCGTAGAACAAGAAAGGTTTCGTGTCTCGCTTGAGAGTTGAAAATTTGATATAGCCATAAGGCGTTGCAGCGTTGCGGTACGGAGAATCGGCTGACATTAGCTATTACAAACGCGGATTTTTTCGAGATTCATCAGTTTCTGGCAGTGGTTCCTCAAAAGATTGAGTACAACAAGCTGAGCTGTTCAGACGTCATTGAAGACAGCTTGGCCGTTGCTGAGTATCGAGGATAATGGCTGAAGAGTAGCGATTTCTCGTCCTGTCGCCACATCGCACATAAACTCGCGAGGACTGCAAGTTTTATCTGGAACCAAGCTTCAGAACTATAAGCTTGATCAGAACCAAGATTCAGCGCCATGAATTATTTAATTTATAATGTTATTTATTTATTTAAAAGTCTACTAATCTCTAGACAAATATGTTGTGAACGCAAAAGGAAATTAGGACATAAACAAATATACACTAAAGTTTCCATCAACCTTATAAGGTGTAGGTTGGTGGTGTTGACGACATTTGTATTCAAAATTTGTCGCTAAGTTTAAACTAACTCTGCCGTGAAAAATTGACACGAAATATACAATCCTCAGCATTATGTTAAATTGTAAAAACTATTTATATTGAGAATTCTACCTGAAAACGGTGCATAAAATGTTTGATATTCAATTATTGCAAACGATTTTCACAAATATAGATCCATAATTGAGTGCGCGCGTTTGTTATTCCAACTTTTATGTCGTAGAATCTCTGCACTTACTTCGATCATATTATTCAGACAACACGCCTGCAGCCAATGAGTTTTTTTCAGATGAACAGGAGATGAAACATATGAAAAAGAGCACCCTATAAATGCCGGTAATATAGAATAATGTAAATTAAAGAGAGCTCTTTCATTGCATGAAACTTGTTATCTTCTAGGTTAATGGTAAACATATAAAGCACAGAATGAGAACAAAATAATTGATACACGTGTGGTTAACTTAATTATAAGACATGATTGCTTCTCAGAAAATGAATTTCTTAGAATTCGTAGTTTATATTATTTAGTAAAACTTTTTCTTTTTCACAGGAAAAAATCATGATTCTAGTTATTTTCATTATTTAACTATAAATTCCGATATTTTCATATCAAAATAATACATTCTAATACGATATACATGAACATTTCAATATCACAGTACAATAGTTATACAGTATATGTTCAATGGTTACATTAAACGTGAAAGTTTTATTCTACCCTTAATGAAGGTAATGTTGTAAATCTTTAAGTAATCAGTTGTGTACGCATTTAATGCTTATTAAGTTAAAAACTATATGGTAATCATAAAGTTGTTTCAACTGCGAAGGTACACAAGAATATATTCTCTCGAATCTGTTTACTGAGCTTGCCCAAGTGGCGGAAAAATATCGTGAAACCTTTCATTTTTATTCACGTATTTTTCCCAACTCATCGTTTATAATTCACTTAACTAAAACCCATCTGGTCTAAACCCTTCAATGAAACCGTCGCGCCTCACATCTCCCCCGAAAGGTCCATGTTCCCCCCCAAAGCCGGCGAGGATGTGAGCGAGAGGTGACAACGCTCCTTCTACTGGATATTCGGAGGGTTCTGCTAGTCTGAATGCATCGCTTTCTACGTAAGGAGGGTATTCTCCCACCACCACATACGATGGATCTTCTTCAGCGATTAAGGGTGAGAATTCGGCCGTTGTTTCAGCCAAAGGTAAGGATTCAGCATCGAACTTTTCTACTGGAGAGCTCGCTGTTGTTGTAGCAGAGGCTGCGGCTGATGCATTTGATGTTTTCGCGATGGGCGTTGTAGACAAAGTAGCTGAGGTGATGGAAGCAATGGTAGTAGAAAATGTTGACGATGAAACAGTCTCATTTGCTGGGACATTTAATCCGGCTGAACTACCGTTCGAATAAGAAATTGACCTAGATACTGACACTGATGTAGAAATTCTTGGTGAGACTTTATCAGTGGAATTGGATACTACCTCCGATTCCAGAGGTTCAATAATGTAATCTATGCTCTCTGAGGGGAAATCATCTCTGAATAGAGGAGAACCAGGACGATAGAACACTTTGACAAGTTCTTCGTCTAAAACAGGTTCTTCTTGCTGGTGAACGATTTCCACTGGCGGCCGGATTCGTTTGGACGCCGCCAGCAGCGTTAGCTGTCGGTTGATGTCGAGAGCTGGTGGCAATACTTCGACGTTGCGAAATTCGGATGCATCGATGTATTTAGGTCTGGATAATTCTTCGAGAATGTGCTGAGTGGGGCTACGGCTGTTTGCTGGTTCAGGTTCCTCCTCCATTTCTGGAACGGTCTCGTCGAAGATGTCATTTTCGGAAGGGTCAGCTTTTGCCAAGAGTTCGAGAACTTCATTGTGGCGGTCGCCTGACGATTGAGCATCTCGGTCCAGCACGCGTCCAGAACCAAGGCCCAACACCGCAATAACGGACAGCACCTGCAATTAAAAATTCAATCAACCATGGTTGCTAAAACCAATTCTCCTTACACAATCTGAAATAAACGTTTGAATAAGTGTCATATATTTTTATTTGCATGTATGTATAGCTTATGATAACGCAATGTTATTAAACGAATGAGCCTGTGCTAACAACGTGTGTAAAGTTTATCAGCGAAGAATTCTTAACTAGAACGAAAGTTTTATCATTGATACTTTTTATCAAACAATGGGATAAAAGGAAATTTAAGGTTATCGCAAAACTCACGAGTTAGATCGGAATAATGCCATTAATTATTATTCGTACCAACATCACTAACAAATCTGTAGTAAATTGATTCAAGTATTTGAGTATCTAATATTGATTAAGGGTTGTCGACTGAATTGTTTTAAACGTTTAAACCTAGAGTTCGAATTAAAAAAAATTGAGGTGCTATACATGTACAGTATATCTGCTCGTCACGTACGAACGTCTGAGTAAAGCAAAACCATGATCGGTGTTTCGATTATATATATGTTTATCAATTCGTATTATTTCATTTGTATTTGACAATGAAAATTAATATCTTCATTGATTGGGTACATAGTTAATATTTGAATCACTAAGAGAATGAAATGAAGTTGCCAGAATCGTGCGAGGTCAGTTCTGCGTAACGAGGTTCACACGACTCTTGAACAACGCTCTAACAATTCCAACATTGAGGCAACGAATCTTCAGTGACCTCCAATGACACTGATTAATGCTCCACAGAACATAATTCGCAATTCATTGACATTAAGATGTGTTTCTTAATTAAAATTCATTTCCTATATGGGCTTATTACACCTTGTGGTGAATTCATAGTTTCATGCAGACAATAATAAATAATTTCGGTCTACTTTTTGTACGCACATCACAGGAAGCAACGACCTGAAAATTTTCATCGGTTGCATGAACAGCAATTGCACTGATCGTAGTAGTGACATCAGCAACAGACATAACGTAACCTGCTGGCGTAACAGCGGCAACAAGATTTGGTTCTTACGTATAGAACTAGAAGCAGGTATGCAGTGGCAGCTGCACTAGCAACAGCAGAGACAACATCAGCTGCTGTATCTGCAGCAACAATAGGTGCAACATCAGATGCAGTTGCAGCAGCTACAACAACAGAACCTTGGCAGCTGTAGTTAATTGCAGCAGCAACAGAACCTCGGCAGCGGTAGTCGCAGCAGCAACAGAACCTCGGCAGCGGTAGTCGCAGCAGCAACAGAACCTCGGCAGCTGTAGTCGCAGCAGCAACAGAACCTCGGCAGCTGTAGTCGCAGCAGCAACAGAACCTCGGCAGCTTTAGTTGCAGCAGCAACAGAACCTCGGCAGCGGTAGTCGCAGCAGCAACAGAGGACTGAAGTCACTGGACAGAGGCAGGCGTCAAGGTCGCTGAGAGGACCGCCTGATCGCCATCGTGGCGGCGTCCCGTCCACTCGTTTGACAACTAAAACGCAGTCGCTTTTTGCTGAAGATTGTGCTTGCCTTGTGACGCGCTCTATGTAATCTATCTATGTAGGGGATTGTGCTTGCTTCGTTGATCGTCGCAAATCTCTCATAGTATAGGATATTGCTTGTCTTCTTGAGCACAAAAAAAACTCTCTTTTTAAGGTATTGTGCTTGTATGTTAAAGAACTGGACATAAATACTTTTTTTTTGTATAGGATTGTCTATGTTTCGTACGTAACCAAACTTCCTAATTACAGTATTGTACTTGTCTTGTTGAGCACGTCCGTTCGTTTGGGATCTTCTGCTCTTTATGGATCATATTAAACTTTTTACTCACGCATGTCTATTTCAGTATACCTACAACTATTTTGTCTTGAAGCGCATTCAAATATATCCTTATTCCATGTGATGATTTTTTTGTCTTTTTGCATGAATGAAGTTTTTATTATCCTTTCATATCAGTATGTGAAAAGTGGACCTCGCCTTTAAGAGTCTTCTTAAAGAATTAGATTCTTTGTCACGCTCACAATTAAGTATATGAATTTGTAAGAGTGAGGTTTATTTCCAGCCTTTGTTTCCACCATGACCAAAAGATTGCACTGAATTCGACCTTAGAAATTATAAAGTGTATGAGCATGCGTTGATACTATGAAGATTTAGCCTGAGCATACAAATATCAATAAATAAAAAAATTTTCAAAGATTCTGGATAAAGAAGAAAAAATGATTTCGTTCGCATCAAGTAGTGAAAAAATGAAACTACTTTCAGGTACTTTTTTGAATATTCAATTCAAAAATTCAATAACCCCGAAAAATTAACTTCATTCCTAAAACTTTCTATATTTTTAGCTCGCTCACGCAGCGTCACAAACTGATTTAAATTTGAGGTTTAATGCCAAGTTGGTTCATATGAAATCGTAAAATTATCGACGCATTATAGAGTAAATTATATTTACATAGAGAGGCATTACAAAGTAGCCAACAAGCAAAATAGATTATGATTATGTAGCGGACATTCCAAGAATTTGCACGGCTAAAGTTATGAAACTTGGAAGCTTCAAATTACATACAGTATAAAGAAAATGCATGCGCCTATAGCGGACCTAATGTAGTTGACAAAACCATCACGCAACGAGGCTAGAATAAGTCGTCTCTGCCATGACGGAACCTCACCCAAGAACCATGAGTAAATGTTGATGTTCAGCGCCACAAATGCGGCCTTCGGCATTAATTTTTTATCCTAACTGTGAATACTGGCTGAATTAAACGAATTGGAAATTTGTGCTGCATTTTATTTTTCTAATAAAATTTTAACTCCTTAAAATCATTCTTGTTTATTAAGTAAAATCTCGATTATTAAGTCAACAGATCACTCAGTTTTGATCCTTATCTCGTTACTGCAATAAAATATAGATACTTAATAAGTCATAATCTTGAACCCATTCTGTTCTGATCACCAAGTCGTGGGTTGAATATTCGTAAAAGAATCCAGTTGTGCGTAGTGAACAATGCGTCAAGCCTAATGCAAGATTAAAAGGAACCGCAACCTTAGAAAAACTTAAATTGAGCTCACAATTACGCAGCGGCAAATGTGAAAAGCTGGAAATTCATTTAGTTTCATTCTGGATTCATTTGTTTATTTTAATTAACATTTGCATGCAGTTGATTCAACAAAAGCGCCTGAACTGTTCATTTCAGCAGCTGACGTCTCAAGGATGACGCGACAACTCAACAATCGCAAATTTTCTGTAAATTCACAGGCTTGACCTTCAATACATAACACCAAAGAAGCTGCCAGTCAGTAGCCAAGTCTCGCGAGCCGCAGCTGGCGACTGACTCCAGCACTAAAGCTGCCAGTCAGTAGACACGCTACGTGAGCGCAGCTGGCGACTCACTCCAGCACTAAAGCTGCGGTTGCTCATGGACGCTCCAAGTCGACTCTGAACGTATGGCGGGGAATTCGAGAGTTTCGCTTCGCTGAAAAAGTTGTCTGTATTTCTTAATCATTATGCGAACGTTTTACCAACATGAAACGTTCTGATATCATAGCATAAATTGCATTACATGGAGATTAGACTTTCATGTACCAGATTTGATATTCGTATTTGGTTAAAAATACTTAATCTAGATTCAATTGTTAATAATACAATGTAAAGTCCACACGGCCGCAATTCATGTTTGATATATGAATATATATTAAAATTCAGTTGTATGTAAAATTCAGTCCCTTAACAAATACCGATTACAGGAAGTACGTCGCGAGCGCATCATCAATCAACTTCTTTATAGCCGAGTGCTCACCAAGACTTTACGTATGACGACAAATTAAATCCGCTCTTCGCTGCACTAGGAGCAATCACTTATCAGTGTACAGTTATTCGCTCTTCTACTGCACGAACGTCTTTTTTGGAGTTGCCGCTCACAGCACCACGAAGTTTGCACTCTTAGTTCTCCCACGTACGTACGCTGAGGTTCAATGAAATGTGAGTGAATATCATCCGAGTTCATGGGAGTCATGCCTCAGTGTCTCTTAATTAGCTACAGTTACGAGTGATAGAAGAAGAATATATATTAAAATAGTCGATAGTAATGGTAATTATAAATTGTTTGCCCTTGAGCTAACTGAATAATAGGAATTTTAAAATAAAACATCATTTAGCTCAACAATTTCTACAATGGCCTGAAGCAACAACTCGCTTCTCATTGGACTGTTATTCTGGCTTCCTGGCATAACCACAGGAAGATGCAGTATTCAAGGACTTTACACCGCAAGTAATATTCAAAAAGTTCCGGCACTAAAAATATCACCAGGCTCTAAATAAATACATTGAGTAAATTGTTTAATGCCTGAAGTTAATTTTAAGAACTACTTAAGGGACTATGAGAATTTACTGGGTTGAAAAATAAAATTAAATTTAGGTTATCATGAACGAACACAATCGCAATAGATTGCTTGCACGTTAACCGTGTATTTTCAAAACGGATAGACGATGCAGAAAAAATGTATGCATGAGTTGATCGATTTTTCATTTCGATGAAAATTTTCAAATTTGCTTCCAGGTTTTTGCTCGACTAAATGAGAATGGACGCAAAGGTTCGATTTTTTACTGTCATTTCAGATCAACGTGAATGGTTAACCTTCGAACAGATGAAGTTTAGAAAAATTAAATTCATTTTTCTTCAATAAAATGAGATTCTCATTTCACGAATAAAGAAACTTTAAGGCTCAAAAACATGATCACCATTCCATGTATATACAATTAATTTTACGCCTCTCATTGTTGTCTTTTAAGATACGATTTTTAGTCGTGAAAACCATTACCACCGAAGACGACCTCAACTGAAGTTTTAATTTGGTAATTGAAACTTTGATTTGAAGCTTTAATTTACACGTCGCCCTTCGTCACAATTTTCTGTCAACTGTTGAATTTACGCGTCCAATGTCCAATACCATTATTAATTTTCTCTTTTTATTGAACATGCCGCAAACGGTTTCTGAAAGCACAAGAAGATATATAAAATATAAA